ACATCATAAATTTTTAATTCATAGGGTGTTTTGTAGGACCCTTGTGAATATGTGGTATTGTGGTGCGTGCAGGATTGAGAAGTGATGAATGAGTTCTTATGGTGAATGTGTAATTGTAATGAACGAATGGGTCATGACCAGCCTTTTCCCATTTCCCCTTCAACCTTGTGTCACAATTTTGTATTTTTTACAAAGTAAATATATTCAGTGCTTTGCACGCAAGACACGTCTGTGCTCATTTTGATCTCCAGGGTAAGTCATTTCTTTCGTCATAACACCTATGTTTCAAAGATTTTTTGAAATTCTCAACAGTGGGAGTGTAAAAAAACAATTAAGGGGGAAAAGTCAAAGAAGGAAGAGACAGGAAGAAGTAAAAAACTGAATAATGATGATTAAGGCCACTGCCTCAAAAACCAGAGCACAGTGGGTGGTACATAACTTCAAAAACAAAATGCACCAAGAGAACATTTTACAAGACATCAAATCTCCAAGAATAACAAAGTGAGTCCCGCAAACAGAAAATATCCCCACCCCCATCGTTTTTATTGACATGAAATTTTGTTAAACCCTGCTTTTACTTTCAAACATTTCTTGAAATCTAATTGTATGAGACATTCAAGTTAGGGGTAAATTAGAGAAAGAGTTTTCCAAGTAAGTTGAGCCTACTTTTGCACAAAAAACAGTAAGCTTCTAGAAACTTTCATTGGAAATCGGTCAATTTTTGTGCAAAAGTAGGCTCAACCTACTTGAAAAACTCTCTAATTTACCCCTAACTTGAATGTCTCATACAATTCTATTGGTTAAAAAATAGAAAAATATGATCTCGCCCACAAATTTCTTGGAATTAGCAGTAGCATATACTGAATTTCCAGTGAGTCAGTTTAATTATCGAAAAAGCTACAAATACAAACAGCAATCAAGCTTCTATGCACAGAGATATACACATACTCAGAGAAAAGCCAAGAGAAAACTTAATTTTATGCTGATCAGAGACTGCCTTTTAGAACAAACTTCTTTTCTGAATAATTTGGAAAAATACTCTACACCACAATTCACCAACATTTTCAACTGTGACAAAACTTTTTCCACTAGAAACTCTTTCTCAGAAAATTTTTGTCTCATTTAATTTTTACTAATCTTGACTTTTCTGGTTAAAGGTAGACAACTTTCACTTAAAAATTGTAAATTTAAAATTTACATTGCCAACAGTATTTTAAATTTCTAATAACAATTTTATTCTCAAACTTTCATACACTGAACTTTTAACCAACAATTTTCAGAACTTTCTGCATTTAAAAAGTTAAAAGTTCAGTGTATGAAATATTTAGAATAAAATTATTAGAAATTTAAAATACTGTTGCAGTGTAAATTTTAAATTCCAAACCAGTAATAAGAACCTTTTCTCCTAAATATTCTCTGATCAATTTTATGGACACATCATTACAACACAAATTGTAAAATTCTGTACATATAAATTTTATTTATTGTTCTGAGCCTATTCTTTTGTCATAATTACATATCGTTACCTATTGAATTTTTTTTTTTAAATTTATGTTTGTGGAGGTTACATGTTTCATTTGCAGCAAAACACTAAAATATTTATGCAGCCTTCTCAGATCCACTACAAAATGGTTGACAAAGACCCAGATTTAGACAAGGTGTAGAGAGGCCCATATATATCAAGCTGTTCTGCTGCTAACAGAGAAACCTGGATATGACTAACCATCTTCAGCAGACATGTCCACATGCTATTTGGGATCTCTTTTACATCTGTACCAATACACATTTGCCACACTGCACACTGATTATAGATATAACAGCTTGAAGTGGGTCTTTTCCATTGAGTGCTTCTCCAAGATGGAGGCTGGCTTGTGTTTCTCCACCTTGTCCCCATGTGATTCTTCCTCCATGGAATCATCTGTCCCATCCACACTTACAAGGATATCCTCCTCACTTTCCGGTATATCATCCTCACTGCTTATTGATGATCATGAGCTCAGGAAAAGATGGAGGTCCTTGACAGGACGTTTTTTGTAGATCTTAAGACTGTGAATTTAGTTCATTAAATAATTCCTTTAGTTTTAAAAGTGAATTGGAAATTTATTGAATAGTTTTCTTTGTTTCATAGCAAGTTTAATTTAAGAACTCATTTGAAGAATCATTTGAAAATTTTTTTTATTTGCAAAATCTTAGAATGTTAAAAATATAAAATTAGAAGACATTTCAATAACCTTAGTGAAGAAATATTTAATGTATTGAAATTTGGAACAAAACGCCTCTGATGGCAAAGTAGACGATGGTTTTTTATTGATGCCTCCTTTTGATCAGGAGAGATTGTCCTCAGTCAGAGATTTTTCTTTGGTCAATTAAGACGCTTTGTATTCTGGTTCTGTGGAAAACTAATTTAGTTTGCCACGTAAAGTAACGTGTTTTATCTCAAAAATTCAACTTACAGTGCCAAATTATTTTCTTAATATAGTTAATATTTATTTAACTTTAATTACTATATATCTGATTTTATTTAAGAATGGGAAGGGTTAGTGAATTTTTTCGTTTCGGGCAACTCTGTACAAAAGATTTTTTATTAGCTCCATTAGAATTCCAAAGCTAAAATTTGTTTAAATATAACTTACGAAAAGTTATAAATTTGTTTAAATATAGCTCGAGAAAAGTTATATTTTATTTTAATTTGACTTATAAGGACTATTGAGGTATTGACGCAAATATAGACTTTTGTTAAAGATAACAAAGGTACTTGGTGGCTTTTGGAGATTTGTATCAATTTTGTCTAAGAGACATTTATTTGGAAGAGGTTTTTTATTCTCAAGAAGAGGAATTATTGCCTTTGATTTGTTTCTATTGTTGACTCAGAGAGTCAACGTTTTATTTGGCAGAGTTGTTCGATGCAGGGAAGGCTGCCCCATTCTATTTAAAATGAGATTTTAAAATATTTTATAGATATTCATTTTAAAATTTTATCTTAGCCAAGGTTAGGAGTTGTGTTTTTATTTCTCCCTTTCAGCTGCCAAAAAGGAGACAAAGAATGAAAAAAAGAATTTCTGAAGAAAAAAAACAAATGTATTTGAAGATAAAATAAATTTGTAGAAGATAAAAGTATCTGAAGAAATTGACTGTTAAGAAAAGATTTTAAAACAAGTTTTTCAAAAGAAAAGGTTGAAAAAAGAAAAAATGTTTAAGTAGTCAGTTTAAGGAATGATACATTAGAGTAGACTAACAAAATTATTAATGTAAGTAATAAATCCCTTTGTTTATCATTATGTTTTGTTACTATTTGGCATATGGAACAATATGCATGGAAATTTTGTTTTATTGAAATAAATGTTTTATCGGTGAACACTATATTTTGGTTTTATCTACTAAATTTAAGATAGTCTGCTTCTTTGAGTTGTTTTGTTTTTACTTTCCTATGAAGAAGCCGAGAACAAAATCGGCAGTATAGTCCTGTGCCTTATTTTTTATTAAGCATTTCACCCCTAGCAAGGCGGGAAGCCACTAGTATGCAAGGGGTTATAGAGGATTTGGAGCGCGAGCAGGTAGGATTGATAGAGGAAAGGATGAGGAGAAGTATAGTGGATAGATCAAGGTAAATGGAGATGTCGATTGACATTACATTTGAATAGTTGGAGATTATAGCTATCAGGGAAACTGGAATAGGGAAGGGAGTTCCACGGGTGAGAGGTGCGAGATATTGGAGTAGAAGAGGCGACTACATTTAACAGATTCAACAGTGAAAGGGTGAGGGCGGGATGCCAGCCTCGTAGGGCGCTTGAATTCGCGAAGTCTGGGAACCAGCGAAAACAGCTCATCGAAGCAATTACCATGAAAGTATTTGTAAAAAAGACAGAGAGAGGCGACGGCACGTCTGTGAGAGAGGACTATTATTACTAATTTTTTTTCTTCAATTAATAATTATTAAAAGATTTTTTTGATAAACGAATAAATTGTAATATTTATAGTTACTTGTTAAACTGTTGTGGTTTCAACAGGAATGTAGTATCCTCATACAACTTAGAACTCATTTTAATTATTACTTGACAGAGTTACCGATCTAAAACAAATGAATAGACGTTGGATCAACGTCCACTCGGAGAAAGATGAAAATACTCGATGTGATAATACAAATTAAGTGTGGTTTTACATTTCATGAAAGTATTTTAAATTAAATAATAGTAAGTAAAAATGAAGTTATTTTATTTTAAAACAATGATGAAATACTTAGTGATAGTCCGACACTAAAATTTATCGGATCCCTTACCTGACGATAAATTACTATCGTCAGGTAAGCTAAGGGATCCGATAAATCTTGAACATATGCCGTAAAAGTTCACTTGGGATCACGGTAGTTATCAAGACGTACGTTTTTTTTTGTTTTTTTTTTCAAATTAATATTTTAATTTAAAATTCCTTTACGGCGTTAGTTTTAAAATTAACCTTCAAAATGAATTTCTCTGCAAATAAAATTAAACTAAAAATGTTCGTTCAAGTTGAAAAATGAATGAACTTGCAAAAACTCTCTAAAAGTTATTGTCTGATCAACACGTTACTAAGTACATCAACACATTATTAATTCATCCATTATTTAAAATGTGTGTAAAAAATAAAAATCTATTTATTTCAAAATAAACGTTTTTTATTGGCATCAAGAATAAGTTTTATCCAAGAATAAGTTTTTCAATTTTTATATAGCAAATTCAACACTATTTCTTGTTATTAAATCGTAAATTGTAAAGTTTTGCTTTAAATATAAATTTTCAAATTACAATCTGTAACTAAATAACTTTGGTTTTGGTATTTTTTTTTTTTTTTTTACAGGAGAAAACACATGTCGTCATCATAGTGATTTGAGCAGTCTAAGTCTGTTTAATGTTCAGTTACACAATTTAAAAAATATAAACAAAACTTCAACACTAAAGTTCACAGCTTTTACATGTTATTCAAAAGATCTGTAAAGTTAAAGCATTTAAAGCAAAAATCATTACCCGTTTCAGTTTTCATTCTACGACACCCATCCATATTTGATCCCGGTGAAGAATTCACTTTACTAACAAATTACAATGGATCTGATTGGCTGACGTAAAACTCATTTATCCAATCAAAATTCAGTTGACAAATATTTGTGTAAGCTCGCCACGCTGCTGTGTTTTTAATTATGGCAGGTAAGTGAAATGTTTATATCTTTTATTTTAACTAACTTAAAAAAGAAAAAAAATTACATACTTTTGGTAGTAAATAATATTGTTGAAAATACTATAAATAATTACCAAAAGGTAAATTTTATACGGTTACCTTAACTTCTTAATCTCTTTTCATTTCAGTGACATTGTCACGAAAGAATTCCAAAGATCTTTTACTTTTTTTTGTGCAATAATGAAGTTTTGTTTTGAGGAGACAACATTAATTTTGCATTCACTGCATCAGTCAGTAAAGGAAATAAGACTTATTTACTAAAACATTTTTTATTAGTAATCAGTGATTGAAAACAAAAGTTCTGTTAAAAGATTTTAGACAGGGACCAAATCGAGTTGATAACTCGATCCCTTTTAAAAATATTAATTTGAATTAAAAAAAAAAAAAGAATTTAATTAGTACTTTCTTTTCACCCTGTCTAGAAGTACCAATAAAATCAGCAATCAGAATAAAAAAAATATTTGCACCATTTCTTTCGGTTAGGAACACTGGTAATTGTTGAAAAGAGAATTCCAATTATCCTGTTAGTTTTTTTTTTTTTTTTGCATTTTTCAGTTGGTTTTGTTTTCCACTGAACATACTTGCACTTACTTGAAGAATGCTGAAAATTAAATTGGGCATTTTTAACTTGCCTATTCTTCTTTCATATGGTCATTCATGGTGTCGTCAATCGTAGCTCTCCACAACTTCCTGTATTTTGTTGTTTTAAGCCATTTTGCTCCTTTATCACTCCTCTTCTTGTGGTACTTGTTCTGCCATCCATTCACTAATTTGTCGTATTGGTTGTATCTGTCTCTCCCTGATTCTGTTGCCTCCAGTCTTCATGAGTTTAATTCTCCATGACTTCTTTCATTGTTATTTGTCCCAAATATTTCAGCTTTTTCTTTTTGATTGTTAACAACAGTTTCATTGTAATCCCTATTGCCATTCTCATTTCTTACATGCTACAGCTATTTTCAGCAGTTGTCAGTAGAACCACATCTCTGTTGCATAAAGTCTCTTCATCCAGAAGAGATTTTCCAACATTCACTACCATAAGAGGATAGACATTATTGAAAAGGACAATTTTCCTATTTAATAATTTGCTTAGTTTCTGAAAGTTATTTTTCACTATTGATTCCTGTGCATCTGTGAATTTCTGCGTCACTCTTTCTGTTGTGTGGTATTTAATCAGACGTGCCTACTAACAATTTAAAAACAAAAAAAAAAAAAAAACTCAATGACCTGACAAATCAAAGGCAAGGACAACACAAAACAAGGAATTCAAAATAAAATATGCCAAAATTTATTCTTGGCAAATTAACAATACAACTCAGGAAATATAGTTGTATAGAATTCCGTAGAAAACAAATGTAAGCAGATTCTGAGCTTGAATTCTAGTAATGAAATAATGTTCAAAGTAGATTGGACAAAAAGTTCATATAATGCCACTGACAAGAAAGCCATAACAATCCGTGATTTACTCAAAGTTGGTATGGTATAGGCAGAAGAATGCTGATAGGATGATGTATATATTACTAACTAGATTTGATTGACACAAAATAGAAACCAGAAATGCTGAATCAGTTGGGAATATGCCCATAGTAACCGGAACAGTCCATGTTCAAAAAGTAGATAAACTCAGTCAGTTGACATGCACATAAGTACGGTCAATGTTCAAGGATGATAAACTGAGTTAGTAGACATGCACAGAAGAAGTCTAGACTAGTCAATGTTTGAAGATGATAAACTGAGTCAACAGACATGCACAGAAGAAGCCTAGCACAGTGAGGTAAACTGGGCAGCAGATATGCACAGGAAAAATCTGGAACAGTTGATTTTCAAAGATAGGTAAGCTGTAAAGAAAAATGTGTGCAGGATAGAAATATGTTCACCAATGATCGTTAGGTATAGAAAATGCCAATGTGCAAGGGAGAGGATTGGTATATGACCAGTACAATTGCTTTGGGAGTAAGATGCTGATGAACTTGGGAGAAGATTGGTATTGCAACAAGAAATGACTGATATGCTTAATAGATACCAGAAATGGTTGGTTGCACGCAGAAGATATCAAGACTGTTGATCAACGCAGAAAATCCCAGAACAAATGGTACCTCATAGTGGGTGCAGGGACCATGGACAAACTCTGAAAATACTCTAATGAGATGTTGTGACTGTGAGTGCAGGATACCATTGAGAAGCATTGGAGACACCGGAACGAGAGGTTTTGCGGTAGTAGTGCAGGTATCACTGAGAAACGCTGTTCATACCGGAATGAGCACTGATCCACACAGTTAGGGGCAAGAAAACGAATTTGCCCTTAAAAGGACAAATGGTAATCACATACCATGTAATCAGGGTGCAGTGATCTAAGACAGTGTCTTAGTGCTGAAAAGGATTCTCAAAGCACAGGTCCACTATAACAATAGATCAAACCTGTAACCTGGCAGTTCATGGGCCACACATGGGTTCAGCTGATACAGCAGGATCCTGTAGCAACTCTTGGGACATACCAGTTAGAGAAAACCTACTGCTAACGACAGTAACCTAGTGAAAAATAATAGGAAACTTAGATTCCTACCAAGAATATAGGAAGATGATGACATACTGTTCCAAAGAACATGATTGCGAAACAACCAAAAGCTCTCCTCTATAGCTAAAAGTGCATCAACTATGTAAGTATGGCACAGAGAAAAAAACCTATTTTCTAAGGCATTTACTTTAAACTCCACACTGTTTGTTTTGTTTAACGGCATTCCAATCTTAGTGGTCACTTTTTGCCGAAAATAATTTTGGCTTGCAACATTATTTCTTTCAAAAACGTATAGCTGGCAACATTATTTTTTTCAAAAACGTATAGCTGGCAACATTAATTTTTTTTTTTCAAAAACCCACAGCTGGCAACTTCATTCTTGCAAAAATGTATGGCTGGTAATATAATTTTTTCAAAAACGTATAGCTGGTAGTATCATTTTTCAAAAACACACTGCTGGTAATATTATTCCTTCGAAAATGTGTAGCTGGTAATACTACTTTTCCAAAACCGTATAGCCGACAACCTTAATTTTTCAAAAATGGTCTTTCTGTTGGACGTAGTTTATCGCCATACCTAATATGTGGATGTAGTTTATCTTCATGCCCATGGACGCAGATGCAGTTTACCGTCATGCCCATGGACGCAGATGCAGTTTACCGTCATGCCCATGGACGCAGATGCAGTTTACCGTCATGCCCATGGACGCGGATGCAATTTACCATCATGCCCATGGACGCGGATGCAGTTTTCTGTCATGACCATGGACGCAGATGCAGTTTACCGTCATTCCCATGAACGCAGATGCAGTTTACCGTCATGCCCATGGACATGGATGCATTTTACCGTCATGCCCATGGACTCGGATGTAGTTTATCGTCATACCCAGGCGGGCTAGACTGGGAGTTCACTATTTGCCCATAGCTGGGACCCTAACAGGTGCTACCACACCAGGTCAGGGTGGACCTGGGAACATCAGCAATTAAGAGGTGGTTCCATGCTCTTCAAAACCTCCTGACCAGAGGCCTTGCTGAGTAAGGATGTGATACAAGGTTGGTTTGCTTTAACGTGGAGACCAGAGTATCTCCACTTGAGCCACTGGTCAAAACTGGTCTTAGCTAGTTATAGCTTGTCTAAACTAGTCAAATATCTTAAAGAGATGTTGTAGTGAATTATTAGATTTAAATAACTGTTTAAGGTTACATAGGAAAGAGTTTTACAGAAACGGTATGTTACAACAACAAGGGCAAGGTTATGAGAAATAGATTGTCAGCTATGATAAAAATGAACAGAATAGTGGAACACTTACATACTGCCATCTGCTACTACACTCTAATCAGATGGCTAAATTTACACATCTGCTTGATTTTGACAACACCTTACTTAAAAAGCTAAAAAGTGAGCAACCTTGCATCTTGCAGTATTTATTCAATTTTAATATTTCTTCTTGTTGAATATTGATTACAACACAAAGATCTATTTGAACACCTAGGAAAAATTGATCTATTTAGAAAAAATATTAGAATAATCTAGAATATATACTTGGAGCAAACTACTTGCATACAGATAGAAAGTAAATTAATTAGATAAAAATAGAAAGTGGTGTAAGACAAGCATGTGTCTTCTCACTGGATTTATTTAAACTCTACAATGAGGCAATCGTAAGAGAACTAGAAGTCCTACTGTGATTCATTATTGGTAAGCACAATTTTAACATACAATATGCAGATCATACTGTGATAATGACAGACACAAAACGGAAACTGAGGGATCTTCTAGACAAAGTAGTAAAGAAAATGTGGGATAGAAAGAAGTGGGGGTAGATATCGTCTAGTTCACACTCCTCCCCAGTCTTTTGAACTGGAGCAGAAGTTTATTCCATGTTTCCTGTTTAGGATTTGGTTTCCAATTTCTTCTAAAGTCTTCCTCAACTCTATACTTCTAACATTTCTGCCTAAACTCTGAAATTTGTTTACTATTTTTTTCTTCCTTCAATATGAGTAAATATGTTCACAATCCTTCTTAGTCTTTTGAGCAAGAGTAGAGGTTTATTCCTTGTTTCCTGTTTAGGATTGCATTTCTGGTTCCTTCTGAAGTCTTCTCATTCTCTTTCACTCCCAGTAGCCCCTTGTGTCTTAGTGGTATTATCTAAAGACACATTGGAATAGTGAAAGAGGCCTTCCAAAAGCTAAACAAAGTATTAAGAAATGGTGAAAAAAGTTTGATAAAAAAAAAAATGGTAGGATAGTTAAAAAAAAGAAAAAAGTATTGCTGAGAATTATAAAGGATAGGAAGTTGTAGAGAACCATGATTTTCCACACCATGAAGGGACATAGCACATAAAAGAAAGATCCAGGGATAAATAAACTTTATGTATAATATTAGCTTCTGCCGTGACACTATTTAAAATAACTGTCTTTAAGGAGCTTTACCTCTTTTTGGAGATGCTAGAATTTGTATATCATATGAGAGACAAAAGACTTCACTGAATAGTGTAATTTAGAAAAACAAAAAAAATAATTTGCATTGTATCATTGAAAACAAGAAGGTGGTGTGCTGGCAAAGATGAAAGAAGAAAAAATAATTTTCCCACTTCAAAAATGGAATTTTTTTTATGCTTTTAAAACTATATATTATGAAAGTTGTGCATTGGCTATTTTTTAAATATTTAATTTGCTTTTATTAATTTAAAAAGTTGAATTTTTTATGCAGAAGTCCAGTGTAGCTTGCTTGTAATCATTATTGACACAAATCCTGTTTGGTGGGGTCAACATTTCCTGCAGGATAACAGTCAGGTAAGAACACTTTTCTTTATTACAAATTGTTAAGTGCACAAAATATTACTATGCTGCAGTGAGCAATTGGCACATTTGAATGACACATTGACTCAAACAACATTTTTATGGTAATTTTAATGACAATGTTAACCAATTCAAGAAATGATCATGAAGTTGGAATAGGAGTATCTTCTGCATTAAGCATATTCTCAAAATATGTTATATTCAGTCAATGATTAAACACTGGTCAGGTTGCAGAGATCCAATATAGAGGAAAATAAAAGAATAAAAAATAATAAAACTGTTATGTTGGGTATATCTCTCTGTAGTAGCAGTCTTGGCACAGTTTTCCACGTTACGTTAAGCAAATGGGTTCACTGAGTAATGCTGTCTTGTTCACCAGTTGTTTTCTATTTATGCTTGTCCTATCTCATTTGATTATGATACTACAAAAAGAATAAAATAAAATTGCTATTTTTTGAGTGAATACACAATTTAGTTGAACCATAATGTAAAGTGATAAAAACATCTTGACTTTATAATCAGAAGAGCTGCCAAGTCTATCATCTTTGTCATTCTAAATAAGAATGATTACAGCTCAAAACTGCCAGAATTCTCATTGACTACACCAAATTTAAAAAAGACACCACTAATCTTATAAAAACTTAAGTCAATGAACATATTAATGCTAATAATGCAGAGATTGGATCTATTAAAACTTCAGGGGATAGATATCATGGATAGCTTTACGTTATTGTAAAAAATTATAAATTTGGCTCCTGTTTGCATCCAATTATGTCCACTTCTGTTCACCAATGATCAAAAACATTGATTCAATTAAGAGTACCCAACAAATACAGCATAAATTCCATAAATTAATTCTAAAAAAAAAAAATAGCTTTACTTGATATCAAAAAAACTATTTACCAATGTTCCCATTAATTGACATTGTTATACAAAATATTTATAACCATCTCAATCTCATGTCTCTTAAAATCAAACTTAACGTTCTACAAAAATACTGCTAGTATCTACCACACAAATCCTTTTCAATGATAAGCTAAGAAATATATGTAAACAAACTGATGGTGGGGCCATGGATTTCCCTTACAGATGTTTTTCTAATTATTATATAGCACAGTTTAAAAATAAATTTTTAACACAACAAACTGTATATATATGTCTGATACATTGAAGGCATATCTCTTCTCACAAAAGACCTTGATCACACACAAAAACTGAAGCAAACTTTCAGCCAAACAGTCAAAGTTTAGCTTATTGTTCTGCTATTATCATTATGTGTTACTGTGTCTTTTCTATAAATATTTTCTTGATAATTGTTCAAATGAGCTTTTTTCTACATTACCTAGATTATTTTAATTTAAGTGCAATACTAAACTGGCATCAAGGTCTCGTTAATTTATAGTTGAGCTGGCTAGATGTAGCTGTAAATTCTTTGTGAACAGTTTCTTTTCTCACAGTTCTCACTTGTAGGACTCCCTTCTGACTCCATGCTTTCCAGCCAACTTTAATCTGCAAAAATTTAAATGCAATGTTAATAACTATCTACTTTTCTCCTGATTACTCTTTTCTCTTCCCGCTCATTATTAATATTTTTGTTCCTAATTTTTCCAAATCCTGTAACCCCTTGTGTCTTAGTGGATTTACTGCCTTGATACAGATTTAAAAAAATAGAGATTTTTGTGTACTTATTATTATGCATACTTATTAACTATATTTTATCTCTGGAATAATATTGTTTTGTATTTTTTAAAAAGTTAAATTATAACTATGCTCAGATACTAAATGGATTATACTACTACAATTTACCATGTTCTATGTTCTGAGAACAATGAAGATGGAAATATTAACTAGTGCTATGTATTTAGAAATACAAAGAAGAATCTGCAATGTTATTGGTCCTGACATGGCATCTGTTTCAATCATTTTCCAACCACCTTAACATAGCCCTTTCTATATTTTCATTGTAATTGTTCTGATGAGCTTTTCTCTTTGGTACCTTGACGTTACAAATTTAAGCACAGTGCTAGATTAGCAGCTTAAGTCTAATCATTTTGTAGTTGAAATGTAACCGTAAGTTCTATGCTAACAGTTTCTTCTCTCATACTTCTCACTTGTGTAACTCTCTCCCAGGTTCTTGCTTTCCAGTCAACTTTGATCTTCAAAAATTCAATATCATCATCTTGTGTTTTTAATTCCTATTCTTTTTACTGTTCTTTCTCTTTAATGTTTTTATATTTCTATTCTTTCAGTAACCCCATGAGTCTTATTGGCTTTATTGCCTTTCTTGATTAAAAAATTAAAATAAAATTGATTAAAAAAATATTAATATTTATAACTTGATTAAAATCTAAAATTAATCCTTATTTTTTTGTTAATTGTATTATTATTTAAATTATTTATTTAAATGTTTATTTTTCATTTTATGTTTATACTTTGTATTGAAATTATTAAGTTTTCCATATCTATTAGGTGTATATTTTTTATTTTAATTTTATTTCAGTTGATACTTCTACTGAAATTTCTTATATATTTTCAATATATTTTTCAGTGTGACTTTTTTGGGTGTCTTGACAGTATACTTGTATTTGCTAACTCTCATTTAATGATGAAACATGGCAACCAATTGGCTATCATTGCTTCCCATACAAACCAAAGGTAAAACATCTGCTAGTTTTTTTTGTTTGTATTCTTTTAAAGTCAGATGCCCATGTAAATTTTTTTTTGTCCTTTTAGCATATCTGACTTGAACTTTTATTTCCAAAGAGCAAATATGTTTTCAAAATTAACCAGTACAGACAGTTAAAACCTATGACAGTTCTGTGTTTTTACAACTTTAATTCACATAAATATATTCATAAAATTCATAGATTATATGATTTCCTGCTTTCTGTTGTGGTCTTGTGATCTAACGTTTCTGCTAAATAAGCAAAGAATGATTTAAGTTGACATGAAATTTAACTTAGTTGAGAAAAAGGCGTATAAATAAAAGTGGTAGATCATTTTGAATCATCTTTTTTAAATCGTACTTTAAAAAGCCTAACATACCATTGACAAATATCATTGTTTGTGCAAAAGATGGAGCGCCAGCAATGATTGGTCACTTCCAAGAATTTTTAGCATATTCAAAAAAAGTTGGTTCATTGTTGTGCAAGACAATTTCTTTCATCTGAATCTGTTTTGTACCTTTATAAGACCACCATTTCTCATCATTTTAGTCTTATCTTTTTACTGTTGAAATTGCTAAATGTAACTACAATTTTTATTGTAATAGTTTCTTGCACCTCTCACCTGTGGAACTCTCTTCCAAATTCTTGCTTGTCTGTAATCTACAAAAATGTATATGCATTTTCAATTGTCATCTTCTGTCTTCTTGAATCCTGTTATTTTTATTGTTCTTTCTCCTCACTCACCTCTTGCATCTTAGTGGTTTTATTGCCTTGCTTGGGTTGAAATGATTAAAAAAATCACAACATTTTTGGGTTCGTTGTATGATTAATAGATAATTTTGTTACAAAACAAATAAATTCAAGTTTATATTCATATTTGCCAGTGATAATAAATTTAATCAACAAGATCAAATGCAAAAAATTGATTGAGTATTCATGTAACTTTTTCTAATAAAACATGTTTCATTCTTCACACAGAAATCTATTGGCTACCAGAAGGCCAATGTGTGACACATTTTGTGGAATTATATGATGTTGTATTGCAATTTTTTGAGAATACCAAAGAACACATGAACTGATATATTCACAAAATTAATGTCTGAGATCTTCAAAAACAAATTACGACAATCATTTCATATAAAAATGTTATTTGTTTATTTCATGAGAAGTTAAATTAGTTCAGCCAAAAAAAAATCACGAATCAAGAATTTTATCAGTTTCTTAAGTTATTTTCAATCAGAGAATTATAATTAATGACTTGGAAAAATCAATTTGATGCACTCATAATTGATATGGAAAACCATTTTCATGACATTATTAACCTAAAAGATGATTTGTGGAAAGCGAATCCATTTAAGGTATTTGAAGCTGAAGTTACCAGGACGAAATGTTGCAATTAAGGTATAATACTAAGAACAAAGCAAATTTTAATGAAGATAAATATATTACACTAGAAATGTGATGCTAAATGAGAACCATCCTAGTTCTCTCCTATTGAGACTCATAAATGACTCTGTGTGGGATGCCATCAAACAAGAAACAGACTTCTTGAAAAACCTCATAAACATGTCAAGAAGAGAAATTGAAATGACATGAACATGCTATAAGAGCCATCAATCTTTCCACTACCATCCTACAAAGAGCAAAAAACGGATTGACAACTAAGTAAAAGATCTTTAACAAAGACTCAAATATTGCCCTGCAACTGGTCAGGTGCTCACCTGTACATCAACCCTATGGTCACACCTGGTCATGGGACAATTACTGCTCTATTGATCTTGGAGGAGGAGAAAATGCTTACAACTTTGGCAGAATCAACTGAACTAGAAAAAAATCTGCCACATTTTTGTACTTCATATTTAGTTAAAACAAGTTTTAATAACATAAACAAGATTTATACCAAAGAAAAAAATCACATGACTATAACAGAGGTAGATCATTTTTTTGTTCATGAGTATAATAGAATTAAATATATGAAAGGCTGCCAAAAAGTTCTGTGTCAAACTCATTTCTAAAAAGCTGACCAGATATTAGAATTTTATTCTTTTTTTAAATTCCTTCTTGATCAGGCTGTGAAATTATTTTCTTATTACTAATTTTAATGCTTAATTTTTAAGAAAATGTTATGCTGTAAAAATATTTTCAAATTCTATGTTAAGTGAATGTTAACATGTTTTAATCTCTTTAAAATATGTGGAAGTACACATTGAATGAAAATAGGTTATATGTCTTTGGTCTAGACATATAATTATTTAAGAGATTAAACTCACATTTTCTGAAAGATTTTGATCCATTTCACTAACCATTCTAAAAATAAGCAAATTAAGTAATTTTAGTTTACTTATTCTTAATGGCTATTACTTTTTTCTCTCTTTCTTTAAGTTACAGTAAGCAGGGAAATTTGAAAATATCTTTATTTTTTATTTATTAACTTGTTCTCTGTTTAAGATAATTTCTCTACTTTTAAAAACATTGCAAATAATACTGTACTGTAGTTGTTGTTTTTTTAATTGAAAATAATGTCAATGAACAGACCATCTTAATATTATTATTAGTGTTATAGGATAAAAGAAAATTTATTTTGTTTTTCCTGAATCTCTTTGCCAAATCATGAATGCAATTTACATGACAGAACATGTTATTTTCTTTTCTGTTTGATTTTCATTCAACTACATTTATTCCTCCTAATATTAATTATATTAATAATTTACAAGTCAAATGACTTATAGTTCTCCTGTATAAAATAGTTGAATATACATTGAATAAAACCAGACATACTAATAATCTTGTGATACTACAACATACACTAAACTTTTAAAAAGAAATTAAGTGGGTGGTGGAGAGGAGGAAGAATTAGTGGAAAGGGTCCTTTATAAAAGAGGCCAAGGTGATGGGGAAGGAGCAATAGGTTGAAGAAATCATTTATAAAAGTCATATCAAAGGTTTAACCAGAACGTATCCAGCTAGTGGATATCTCATGAACTGCTATAACTTGGAAACCAATCAAAGGGGACCTTATTGCTCATGCATGAGCAGACACTCTCTCATGTCGTTACTCAGCATGGCACTGAATGAACTTGTATACTGTGTGACTGTTACATTCACAATAACCAAGTGAGTAGATTCTTCACAACTTGTACAATTTCATTGTTTTCTGTTAAAAATTATAAAAAGAAATCATTGAATTGTGTTAGTTGTTTTCTACTTGAGACTTATTTCCTATATTGGAGACCCTTCATAATTGACATTATTTTTTGTTCTAGTTTATAATGCTTTGATATTCCTTTCTGTTGTAGCTACTTCCTTTATCCCCAAGGCAAAATAGAAGAACCTTGTGTGTCTGATCCAAACTCTGAAACAACTGATGAGAATGGAACTCGTGCTTTAAGTGATGGTCGTTATGAATTATTTACGCAAGTTGATGAACAAATTACAACCCAAGTCAAAAGTTTGGTTCTTGGTAGTGAGTTTCACTTTGATTTCTAGTTTTAATTTTCATTACTTTAGACGAATATTTTTTAGTTATTTGATGTATTCTACCCAATTTTGATGAGTGCTTCTGAATTTTTTTATCTTTGTAAGCTAAAAATGACCTACCAATCAGTACATCAAAAGGTATTTAATAAATGTTAGGCATAATTTCCAGTAGATAAAAGCTTATTCTGAATGAATTTGAAAACAGCCACCCCTACAAAGAACCTCCTACACAAAAGGCATCACAAAAATGGTATAACACTGGTTCAAAAAAGAAAATTATTTATAAGTGTAAACTATACAAGATACCACTGTGCTATACAATATTTCAAGAAATATAATACACAAAGAATTTGCTAAATAAATCTAATCTTTGATATATGAGATTCCACATAAAATGCCATATTTTTGCCCAAATATTTTAAATTTCATATCCCAATCTGAAAGCATAACCATGTTAAGAGAAAAATGTCATTTTCGTTCATTAAAAATGCTATCAGGATTTGTTTTAAGGATATAAGAGTAAAATTTCCATTTAAGTTAAAATAATCAGCTCTGAGATAGAATTTCATGTATTTAAAAAGTAAAAATTGCAAAGTCAATTAACTTATGTTGGAATTCTTGAGATGAGGAATTATCATTATGATATGGACCTTACAATTTGAACCAATATTATACTCACAACATTTCAGCTGTTGTGCCCTCTAGCTTTCTTCAGATACTTGTCATATTCAGTAACATTCTGAGAATTTCAAATCTAACCCTTTATTCAATGGGTTGGGGGGCTAGATTCTTCTCATTTTACTTTCCATGTTGAGGGAAAATTTCATATCAGTTAATATTCAATATTGTTCACCTTGATGTAGCTTGTCTGTTTCTTCTACTGCTGCCATGGTGTTTATAATGTAATTCAATGACTTTTTAAACTCATACTCATCTTGTTTTTTATTGTAAAATTTTGGTTTGCAGTTTCTAATTTTGTGCACACTGCAGTATCTTAGAAGGTTGATAGATAAAGATACTAGTTTGTACTTCTGTTTGTCTCCTTCCTCAATTAATCTGTTCAGTCCATGAGTAAAGCACTACAAAAGTATACTGATACTCACTGGCAGAGAAGCACCATGAGGAGAATAAATTGAAGAAAGTGCTGTTTATTGAATTCCATTTGGAAGACATCAAATGTTATAATAAGAAATAAAAAGGAATCACAGACCTAATTTCGTTGGATGAAAAAAGTTCCATTCACAATTCCTTGAGGGTTATTGGTCTTGGTATATATCTAAGAAAGGTTGTAATAAAAACAACAAAGATGAAGATGCTTGTCTGAAAATAAAATCATAGAATAAGATTTTAACTGGGATTAATTAAAGTACTGAATATCCTCAATGAAACGAATATACAAATGGAATTTTCATTTTTAAGTGGATATAAAGGATTTTTTATTTGGTAAAAAAAAAACCTACAAAAAGATATTTCAAACAAACGTTTGAGGTAACATTTAATTTATAAGGGCACACAACAAAGACAAAACAAAAAAGAGATAATAAATTTATTAACACACAAAAATGAAAGAATTATACAAATTAAGTGTTGTGTGCCAAGTGATGGTCAATAATATGTATGTAAAAATAATCAATGCAAATGAAATATGCCTCTTTTATAATAAGAATTACAATGCTGCATAAGGTCCTCAGAAAAGGTAAACAACATAAAAATAAAATGAAGAAGATACCTCTGAATAGTTTTCTAAGAATAGGTACAATTTTTGAAGCAAAGCCCATGATTGCAGTGAAGAATAGAACAATTACACAAGCCGAAGAATTTTCCTTAATGTGGGAGCGATTTTGATTTTCCTTTCAATTCTCATCTGGTGGTTGTCAAATTTCTACTGGTTTGTTTTTCCTGGACCAGAGCAACCTGGGTTCATACAGCAGCTGTTTACTCAGCAATTTCAATCTAAGGCCTTCTACTTATTCGTTCAGGTAGGCTCTGAATTCACTTCTTGGAATTTGGAGGGAAACCCTCTGAGGAGTTCTGAATGGAAAATAAATGCAGCCAATTTCCCACAAATTGAAATGTACCAAGAATATTTTTTAAATAATAATTTTAAGCAAGAGCCCAACGCAGTGTCTGTTTTCTGAAAAGCAGATAATACAAGCTCAAGCAGCTTAAATTTCTTATAGCTATGTCAGTGTAAACATTTATAGTGTAGACTTTTATTAAATTGAAAAACAAAATTGGTCAATGAACCAAGTTAAAATTGTAACTAAGGTTGCTTCTGTTCACTTTCATACTAATGTCCTTCAAGAAGACATAGTCTTATCACTGGCATGTCATAATATTTGATAGAAAAAAAAGAGTGTGTAGATGAACAAATCACTCTAAAGTTTATATTTAGAAATAGTATATTTCCTCCTGAAGGAGGAAATATACTATTTTTTCTATATATACTATTTTTTATACTATTTTTTCATGTAGGCAAACTAATCTCCAATGCACTCTAGTGCAAAAAGTTATTACATCCTTATTATTCCCAAAACACCAACTTGAGAAATTACTTTAAAACAAATTATTATTTTTAAAATAGCAATGGTAAGCATATTAGTACAGTTATTTATTTTCATTTAACCTTATTTTTTCATTTCAGGTGAAGAAGGACAATTGTATTCTGACTGTGTTATTGCAGGATCTCTTGCTATGGCTTTGTGTTGTATCCTTATATTTTCATTTATAAATTTTAAAATCCATCCCAAATGTTATGATCAATTACAGGTTTTGGATTTGTTTGGCACAAGGCCTGAAATTTAAAGCAACCTGTGAATACAGATTATCATGTTTTGTTCCATGGAAAATCTCCCATCATTGAATTGTTATACAACTTTTTATTTCTTAGCTTTTAGATTAAAGGACATGTGAAAGATAGAATCAATAAATTGAGCTCAAATTCTGGTTGATGCTGCTGTGTGTTTACTGTGTAAAATGATCTTAGAAACGGTATTAATACACCTTTTCTATTAACGGGTGTCTAATCAATGTCAAGTTATGATGGTTAACTGTTGTGTCGGAAACCTACCACCCCTCTTGAAGATGAACTTGTCTGCAAGCAAAGACGTTAAATAGTGGCATGTCAAAAGAGAGACAGAGCAGTTCTTAGCTGAGCTAGTTATTGACTACTCAGGCGATTTCTGTACCTATTTACCAACCTCTTAAAACCCTTTTTATTGTTACGTGTTATTTGGCGTTTGTCTCTACTAACCCCAAATCAACATCATAACAGTGGCGACGAGAGATTAGTTCATTTACGCTGAGTGGAGAATTTTTTCAACTCTAGGTGGACTATATAAATTTTTTTTTTTTCACGCTCTGAAAAAAAAAAATCGTTGAACTTTTGTTCTTCCACGAAGAATTGGGATTTCAACGTGCCAAAAAGAAGTAAGACTTGTGCTTATTGTGGATATATCGTGTTTTTGCCTTTTTGTCTGTTTTTTTAAAAGTGTTTTGTGTAATCTATTATGCATAATGGAAGATTTGATTGCATTAACGAAAACTCTAGTGCAAAGTCAAATTCAGCAACAAGAGCAACAAAAATTGTTTCGGGAACAACTATTGGATTCACAAGTTCAGCAGCGAAATGACACAAAAGCTTTATTTGAAGCAATTTTACTTAAGAATCGAGTAAATCCATCATTCACGGCCGAAGGTATTGCTAATTCTATTACTGAGTTCAAATTTAACCCAGAGGAGGGCATAACATTTCCTGCGTATTTCAGAAGATTTGAAACAATATTTGAAAAAAAATGTGAAGGTTGGACTGATGAACAAAAAGTGAGTTTACTTTTACAAAAGTTGGGTATAGATGAAAATAATAAGTATATGAATTTTGTCCTTCCAAGAAAAACTGCTGACATTTCTTTCGAAGAAACTGTTAATACTTTATCTAGTATTTTTGGCGAGCAAGTTAGTTTGTTTCATACTCATTTCTCATGTTTGAATATGGTAAAGCGTGACGATGAGGGTGTTGCTATGTATGCTGGAAATGTTAACAATGTGTGAACGTTTTATGTTACATGATCTTTCAATTGATCGATTTAAATGTTTGATATTCGTTCAAGGCTTGACTTGAGCAAAGATAAGGACATAAGGTCCCGAATATTGGCAAAACTCGAACAAAATTCGAGATTACTTTGCAGAAGGTTACAGAAGAGTGTCAAAGAATTGAAAACTTAAAACATGACAATAATGCACAAATTGAAGAAAAAGACGTATACCGTGTCCATGCTATTCGACCAAAAAAGGGAATAGTTAATAAAACGTTAAAAAACCAACGTGCTTTGGATGCGGTGGTGGTCATTTTAAAAGTGAATGTTTTTTTTTCACCAAAATTGCTATTCATGTGGCAATAAAGACCATATAAAATGCGCATTGTAAAAAAAGCAAAAGAAAAAAAAAAGTCGAAAAAAAGAAGATGTGAATATTGTATTGTCACATCAGGAAATTGAGGAGGGGCAGAAAAGAAAATTCATACAGGTAAAAATTAATGGAAAAAATGTTAAACTACAGCTAGACACTGGAAGTGATATTTCCATTATTAATACAGCAACATGGATTAAAATAGGCAGACCTTTGCTTAAAAAGACTGAAAAAGTGGCTCACGGGATTTCTGGAAGAAAATTGCATTTTCAAGGTGAATTTTCTTGTAATATTTCATTTGTTGGTAAGACACTAAAGTCTAAAGTGTATGTGCTACAAAATGCTTCAAATTTGTTTGGAACAGATTGGATTATACTTTTTAATTTATGGGAACTCCCTATAAATTCTTTTTGTAATAGAATTAATGTTTCTTCTCCGTGTATAAATCTGGTTACAGAAAATTTGGTGAAAGATCTGAAAATAAAATTTCCGCAAGTATTTTCAGAAGGTCTTGGATGTTGTAAAAAGACGAAGGCAAAATTTGAAGTGAAGGAAAATGTAAAACCTATTTTCAAGCAAAAAAAAATGTGCCATTTGGTGTTTTGGAACAGATTAACAAAAGAAGTGGAACGGCTTGAAAATTTAGGAGTTATTTCACGCATTGAATTTTCAGAGTGGGCCTGCCCTGTTGTATATGTTAAGAAAAAAATAATAAAATTCGGATGTGCTTGATTTCTCTCACGGGTCTAAATGATTGCTTAAAAGACCACACATATCCTTTGTGTTAACCAGAAGACATTTTTGCAAGTTTAAGTGGAGGAAAAATATTCTCTAAATTGGATTTATCGGATGCCTATCTCCAAGTGAAAGTGGACGAAGAATGTTCTAAATTGTTGACTATCAATACACACAAGGGTTTATACAAATTTAACCATTTGCCTTTTGGTTTAAAAGTATCCCCTAGTATTTTTCAGCAAATTATGGACACTGCGCTGGCAGGGTTGGACTTCGCCATTGCATATCTTGATGATATTTTGATAAAAAGTAAAGATCAGAATGAACATTTGGAACATATTAATCAGGTTTTTGAAAGAATTGAAGAATATGGATTCAAACTTGGAGCTGAAAAATGTGAATTTTTTATGAGTGAAATTGAGTTTTTGGGGCAGATAATAGACTCTGATGGAAGAAGACCAGATCCAGCAAGGGCTGTAGCGATCAAAAGCATGCCATCTCCCAAAAATGTAGTAACGCTACAAGCGTTCTTAGGACTTGCTAACTATTATGGAATATATGTTCCTAATTTGTGCAGCCTTACGGCTCCATTAAATAAATTACTTAAAAAGGGAGTGTTATGTCGTGTATATTGCTAAGTAAGCATTCGACCTCTGTTCTAGTTGTTGTCCATTTATATTATGAGCTACCTGCTCATATGCAAATCATACTAATTTGCATATCACTACATCTCCCTATAACAGAAAGGCCTTATGCCACGAGTACTTCTTGTACTTCTTCTTGTGCCCTCCTGAACATCTGTTGCAAGCATGCTTTTATGCCCTTCTTTACCGTCTGGACCATCCTTTCCGCTGTCCCATTACTTTGAGGGTGGTAGGGAGGGGTCTTGTAAGGTCTGCATCCTATTTTTCTTAACCATTCATGCAAATCAGCATCCAAGAATTCTGGTGCGTTATCAGTCACCAATGTTCTCGGTGTCCCATTCCTCGAAAATATTACTCTTAATATTTGTTTTACGGTGGTACTTTTTTTATCAGGTACTCTCACCACTTCAGGCCAACCTGAATATCGTCTACTAATATTAATAATAGTCCTATCCCATTGACATAGGCATGGTCCATGTGTACTCTGCTCCATGGTTCTACTTCTCGGGCCATACATGTATTTTCTTTTGCTTAAAATTCCTGAGTTCTGTGCATTTTTTGCATCTTCTTACGTAGTCTTCTCGTCTCTTGAGTACCCCCGCCACCAAGCTTCCAATTTTAATCTTCTTTGAGTAGCTGCCACTCCACAATGTACGTCATCGTTTACACTTTTTATAACCTGTCTCCTCTGTGTTTCTGGGGAACTACCAAGTCTCCATTACATATTATCCCGTTTTCTATAGTCATTCTATGTCTAATTTCTTTGAATGGTCTTTGAACAATTTCCCCAGCGATTCTGTTTTATCCTCAACATTATTCTATTTAACACTGGGTCATTTTGTAGTTTCAGTAGCCATTTTATCTACAGATATTACATCGGTTTCTACAAAGGTGCAAGAATGTGTCTTCAAATTCCTCGTCGTTTTTTGTCCTTCTCCTCTCTATAAAACCTCAATCTAGATAAGGCATCAACGTCAGGTATCGTATTCCTTTAACATATTCAATGTCAAAGTCGAACGCCATCAGTCTAATCGCCCAATGCAATATTCTGGACGTTGTAACTTTCGGTAGCTCTTTTCTTGGGTTGAAAATAAATTCCAGTGGTCTGTGATCACTTTTCAACAAGAATTTTTTTTCCATCAAAAACTGTCCTGCTCTATCCATTGTCCACACTATGGCTAGTGCCTCCCCTTTCTATATTCGAATAATTGTGTTCAGTTGTTGTTAATCTCCTCGATAAGTACATTATGGGATGCCCATCTTGTGACAAAATACCAGATATGGACTGCTCACTAGCATCAGTAGTTAGAGTTATGTCCTTCTTAGGGTCAAAATTTGTACTATTGGCTTTTTGCCAGAATCTGTTTTAAGTTTTCAAAGGCTTTCTGTTGGTGTTCTAACCAAATGAATTCCACATTTTTTTCTTAACTTAGCAAATGGTTCTGTCAACTCATTATATTTTGGTACATATTTTCTATAAAAATTTTCCAAACCTAAGAAGGACTCCAACTCTTTTTTTATTTTTCGTGTAGCAACTTTTAGAATTTTCTCTATTAATACTTTATCTGGAGAGATCCTTCCTTTGATATTGAGTAACCCAAAAATGATTTCATTACTGTTGGTTACACACTTTTTGTATTTATTGTCATACCAGCGTCTCTTAGCCGTTCAATATATTTTCAGTTTTTTCTTTAAATCATCTTCATTTAAATCTCCAACACATATATTGTCTTGATAACAGATGGTATTTTCAACATTTCCTATTACTTTTTCAATAACTTTTTGAAAAATTGCACTTGCCGTTTTTATGCCATACGGCATTCTTTTCCACCTTAACAGGCCTATAGGTGTGTTTATGGTCATCACTTCTTTAAAATTTTCATTTATCGGTATTTGGTGGTAAGCTGATTTTAGGTCTATCTTTGAAAATACTTTCATTCCAGCAAGTTTATGTAAAGTTACTTCCACATTCGAATAGGGTACAGTCAGCACAAACTTTATGGTTCACCCTATTTTAAAATCTCCACAAATTCTCAGGTCACCATCTTTTTTTTCAATACCACAATGGGTGATGCCCATTTACTTCCTCCTGGAGGGCAGGTTCTAATAAGTCTTCCTTTATTAGCTTTACATAATTTAGCTATTACCAACGGTAATAAATGCACTAGTATTTTTCTCGCTTCGTAGTAGGAGGGGGAAACATTTTCTTTTAATTTCAGGCTAGCTTCATAATTTTTAATTTTCCTGTTTTTTCTATTTCTATCTCATTAATCAACTTCGTTGAATTTATTTTTAACACGTCATTCCCCAGTAGTCCATGCGTTTTTTTCGCAATTTGTAACTATAATGGGTACTATTTCATATTTTTCTTTTAAATCTATTGAACCTTCAAAGTAACCCATAATTGCTATAATCGAGCCATCAAACTGACGTAGTTGTACATTGGTTTTTTTTAAAAACGGTTTTCCCATTTTTTCCCACAAATTTCTGGGTAATATCGTGACCTCACTACCTGTGTCGATTTGCATTTCGACAATACAGTCGTTGATTTTCACTTTTATTTTTGTATCTTAGATCCAGTATTTTGTATATTATCCTTTTTTACATTAAAAATCTGTCTATTTTCATCCTCTATTCTTTCCACATTTTCGTTTTACATACTTCTTTGAAGTGATTTTTTTAAACACTTTGAACACGTCTTTCCAAAGGCTGGGCATTTTTCTTTTTCATTTCATGAATTTTTCCACAGTACGTACAATTTTTTCTTTTTGTTTGTACCGTATATGTTTCAGCCATTATTTCTTCGGATTTATTTTTATTTTGGTTGTAGGTATGTATTAATTCCTGCTGTTGTATAAATTCTATACACATATTCAAAGGCATGTTTGTAAGTTGTAACTGTTCCATTAACTTATATCTATGTGCTGAATTATGCATACCTTCAATTAATCTTAGTTGGATTAATTCTTCTTCCGTTGTCTGCTCTCCTGTTCCTAGTTTTTCAAATTCACAGTATTTACTCGCACTTCTTAACCGGTGTAAACATTTTACTATCAGTTCATCCACTTCCTGCTTCATTGCCATAAGCTTGGTCCTTTCTGCAATCACCAGTCTTTTCTTTGGTCTCATGTTTCCCTTAATAACCTGACTTATTTCTTCGAAAGTCATTTCTTCTAGTTCTCAAGGGTAAACCATTGTAGCAACCTTCATAATTGCTTCACAACCAGCGGTAGCCATGAACAAGTCGGTGATTTCATTTTTCCCCTCCTGTGTTTTTGTTGTCTTTCAACTTTTTACATCTTGCATTAGCAGCAAAGCAACGAATCCACGTGTCTACATACTCTGGGTCTTCAAGGACCAAAGAGTATCCTATCGGCGACGCTATTGTTATGTCGTGTATATTGCTAAGTAAGCATTCGACCTCCGTTCTAGTTGTTGTCCATTTATATTATGAGCTACCTGCTCATATGCAAATCATACTAATTTGCATATCACTACAGGGAGCAAAGTGGGAATGGTCAGAAGTGTGTCAGAAGGCGTTTGACAAAATAAAGAATATTTTGACATCAGAATTATCACTAACACATTATGACCCTAAACAGGAAATTATAGTGGCATCAGACGCAAGCGAGTACGGAATAGGTGCGGTAATTCTGCATAAATTCAGAGACGGCAATACGAAGCCAGTGGCACATGCATCAAGGACATTATTACCCACAGAAAAGAAGTACTCTCAAATTGAGAAAGAAAGCTTAGCTATCATCTATGCTTGTAAAAAATTCCATAAGTACATACATGGAAGAAGGTTTATATTGCAGACCGACCATCGCCCGCTGCTTTCAATCTATGGTTCGAAGAAGGGTATACCTACTCATACGGCAAACTGTTTGCAATGATGGGGAACCATTTTGTTGAATTACAATTTCAAAATGGAATTTTTATCATCTAAAAATTTAAGCCATGCTGATGGTTTATCTAGGCTGATCCCAACGTCTTCGGAACCGCTAGAAGATACGGTGATAGCGTCATTACAAGCAGAAAATGAATTGGTTGAAGTAATGTATAACACAGTAAAAGAATTACGGTGACATTAGATGAAATAAAATTAAAAGCAGAAAAAGACATTTTTATTAGAAAAATGAAAGAAGTTGTAACTTCAGGAAAGTATAAAACTTCTTCACCAGCATATTCAATATGTGATGAAGTGCTGTTATATGCTGGAAGGGTCATGATACCGGTTGTACTACAAAAGTGGATGTTGAAGGAATTTCATCAGGGGCATCCTGGTATTGGATGTATGAAAGCCCTGATGAGGAGTTATGTTTATTGGCCAAATATGGACAAAGACATTGAACAGGTAGTTAAAACTTGTAGAGGGTGTCAAATGGCAGTGAAAGCACTGCCAGTAAAATACACACCATGGCCAAAAACAGATGTTCCATGGACCAGACTCCACATAGATTATGCTGGACCCATGAATGGTAATTTTTACTTGATAGTTGTGGATAGCTATTCCAAGTGGCCTGAGGTTTTTTAAGTGCAAAGACCAACTGCTTCTGTAACAAAAGATTTTCTTACAGAACTGTTTGCACGGTTTAGAGTACCAGAAAAATTGTCACCGACAATGGAACTCAATTCACAGGAAGTGAATTTAAGACGCTTTGTAAGACTCTGGGAATTGACCACATCACGACTTCACCGTACCATCCTAGGTCAAATGGGCAGGCTGAACGGTTTGTTGATACGTTCAAGAGAGCCCTTAAAAAAACAAATGGTACTAATACAGATGATGGTAATATACAACAGTTTTTAAGTATATACAGAATAACACCAAATCCAAACGCAATATCAGGGATGTCTCCAGCTGAACTGATGTTTTCTAGAAAAATTAGATCTGTGTTCAATAGGCTGCTGCTGGAAAGAAAAAAGAGTTACCAGAACAAAACGCATCAGAAAAATATGAAATATTTCAGGCCGGGAGATAAAGTTTTTTTTAAAAATTACAAAAATGGGAAGGAATTTTGGCAAGATGGAGTGGTAATGCAAAGAATTGGTAAAATGTTGTACATGATAAGAAGTAAAAAATGGACGCACAAAAGACATTTGAACCAATTAAGGAAAAGAAACATTGATGAAATAAGTAAAGAAAATGAAGAACCAATGGAGGTATTATATGATTTATTCGATATACCAACTCCACCACTGCCTGAAACAGTTGTCCAAAGAAGGACAAGCAAAAGAAAAAGAACTAGGGTGGAACGTTTAAGTCCAGATTCCAAAAGGAAAAGATATTAATTCCTCCGGAATTAATCTCAAGGGGGAGGTGTTGTGTCGGAAACCTACCACCCCTCTTGAAGATGAACTTGTCTGCAAGCAAAGACGTTAAATAGTGGCATGTCAAAAGAGAGACAGAGCAGTTCTTAGCTGAGCTAGTTATTGACTACTCAGGCGATTTCTGTACCTATTTACCAACCTCTTAAAACCCTTTTTATTGTTACGTGTTATTTGGCGTTTGTCTCTACTAACCCCAAATCAACATCATAACATTAACAAAAAGTGCATCCTGCTCAGGAATTTTTCCTTGATACTGGTACTATAAAACTGAATATTATCTGTCTCATGTTACTTGAAGAAGAGATAAATTTTAATTTATATATAAAATATAATTTCACCTTAATAGCAGCATGTATTTTTATCTTGTTTTTTAGTACACTATATGACTGAATTGTTCAAATGTGGTTATTTCTAAAAGAATTAGTTTGTTTAGCTTTGAATTTAGTTACTTTTAATTATAGATTCTCTTCATGTTAGAGATACATTATCAAAACAAGTTGGTACTTGCTATAGAGCAATGCTTGTTTGTTAAAATGGCTAGCTAATTTTTGTTGCAGATGTCTGCTCAGGTATAATTTGCTTTTCAACAACACCCATGGAGCCAATCTGTCACTTATACTGAAACTATACTGAGCAGACCTTAGAGATTCTGTGAGAGAGTACATCCAATATGATCAATAGTTGAAGATCAGTATGTTCGAACCTTTTGTTTTTAATGACTTTACGCTAACACACTCACTGATAGCTTTTGAACACTTTTGCCTACTCAATTTCTTTCACAAATTTTGGGGCAATTCAGCAGATTTTCATGCATCAATGGTGCTGTATACTGATTTTATCTCCTCAGACCAATTTGTTTTTCCTTGACAAATGTTGAGATTTGAAACTGTTCTCACTACCTTTCTAACCACTTGTCCAAGCTAGGTATCCATCAATTAAAAGGACACAGACTGTTACTTACTGGATGCACCTCTTGTGACTTTGTTCTACCATATGAACTATTCCCACTGGCTTACTCCTGTTACATGCTGGTTAATTAATGCATTGCTAGTGTGCTTACTATGAATTTGTATTGACTAAGTTTTCTGTTTTAATCTATAATTGAATATTAGAAAGTCTACTTTGGATTGTTTTGGTCTCTTTTGATTGCAAGTCAAGAATTATAAAAACATTTGCTTTGTAATGCAATAGTAATCCACTGTTATTAATATGATAAAACTAGGGGGGGGTCATAAATTATTTCTGGGGGGTCATATGCCCACCTGCGAAACCCTGTCTCCACCACTGTTTTCAGATTATTTTTGGCACCTTAGCCTGGTTGAAAAATTTTGCTGGGGGTGACATTGTGTCACCCCTCCTGTGCTGGCACCCAGAAGCATGCAGTCTGACCCCCCCAAGCTACACCACTGGGTCCTACCACTGGAAGATGTACTCCTTTTCAAAAACAGTTATTGCCAATCCTTAGCCTTTGACAATTTAGTCATTCACCGGATGGAAAAACAAATGCATCTTGGAGAGAAAATGTCCAGCAGAATTTTAGTAAGTATAATTTTTTTTTTAAATGCAATGTATACTTTTGTAAAAAAAAAAAAAAAAAAAAAATCTTTATTTTTGATTTCTTGTAGAGAGCATGATAATCTCATTAGCCATTGTGTGTTGTGGATGTTGTTTACACTGCTACCTCTCACTGTGGGGCCACAGCTTGAATGTCATCTCTTATCACAAGCCTCATCATCCAATGATGTTGGCCTTTCATAGAATCTAGAATGTCTTGCACTCACCAACTGACACATTGTTAGGGGAGAACACTTTATCAGGTGGCTTTACTCAAATCTCCTCCCCAATTTGAAGATATGCATACTTTTCTTTTTTTTTTTTCTTTTTTATATATATATATATCTTCCATTCATATCAGAATACAGCCCTTTCCAGAACAGTCACCAGATATAATCTCAATGACATGTACCAAAAGACTATTTCAGTCAGCAATATGTGTCCCCTTCAGCCATTGCCTTAAGCATTCAGTGATATCTTTTGATGGTCCTATTTCTAAAGTAGCACCTGATATTCTATTTTTCCATAATCTTTTAGCAATTTTGAACAAAATGTGATGTTATCCATTTATCCTGTTTCACTGGAAATCTCCCTAAAAATTATTTTGTTCAGTACCCTTGCAAGCTCTTCCCCAGTCTATACTCTTTCTTCCATATGACCACTCATCTTTGTTCACATTCTACCATCAAGAGAGATATACTCCTTTTTTAATAATGTGTCACTTTGATAGGCAACTTTGTCTAGTCATTTCTCACCTGAATCACTCAATTCATGTGCATTTGGCACAGAGCCAACCAATTAGTGCCTGTCATCAGTTTTAATCACCTTCCAAACAGCATACTTTATGAGATGCAAGTTAATTTTTCTGACACAAAACAGGATTCTTTCTACCTTCAAATGATGCATGCTATGCAATTATTTCAACTCTGCACTCCACCCAAATAACATGCTGCTCTTACTCCTCTGTTATCAATCTTTTGGTATCCCCAACCAGGTTTTCCTTACCTTGATGAGAATATCCACTTTATTCTTTTCTGAGGATAGAAATCTTCAGTGCAATTTTATCCAACCCAAGACTTTCAGATGTGCATATCTGCAACTCTTTTTGTTTATGCTCATTTCTTCTCTTACCAGTAATTATCGACTTCACCAACCCGAGCACAGTAGCAGAATGAGTTCAGATTACAATATACTACAGTCCCCACTTGAAGGCCAAATTCATACCCATTAACAAAGCATCTAATTCAGCTACTTTAAAATAACCCACCTCCAGAATATGTTATGTCTTCATTGCCTTGAATGAAGATAATGCAATCAAGAAGTAGTATATGTTGACATTGCTTTTGAAACCATAATCATGTAGTCTCTGAAATACTTTCTGAATCTGTTTTACGTGCTGTATTTTCGGAGCACTCTTAATAACAGTATTTACATTAGTCGGACTATTGTCCTCATCTTTGTCGCCATATTTGTCACAACGTTTCGGCCGTTGTACGCTCCGGCCTTCTTCAGGTGGTTGGAATTTCGAACTGAACCCTTTATTTCGATCGCTGGGGTAGACTGTTCTAATTCCACGTGCCATGTTTTGATGGATGTCAGTTATCAGTTATCTCCTGCTAATTTTCCCTCTGAAAGTTCTCCACTGCCTTAACCAGGAATTGAACTCACCTTCTTTGGGTCTGTCACTGGATCTAACCAACGCCTTTATCCACTGTGCCATGTGTCCTTGAGGATACTTAATAAGTATATCATCTATGTAAACAACCACCCTATCTAGTCCAGCCAACATTGTGTCCATTACTTGATGGAAAATACCTGGGGCTACTTTTACACCAAAGGGTAAGCTTTTAAACTTGCAGAGTCCTTTATGCATATTAATAGTCAAAAACTTCTGGCATTCCTCATCCACAACAATTTGAAGATATGCCTCAGACAGGTCAGTCTTTGAAAAAAACTTACCACCATTTAATTTGGCAAATATATCCTCTGGAGTTGGTAGGGGATATGCATGTGGTCAGTCTAGTTGAAAAATCTGTACATAAACAAATTTCATTATGTTTCTAAGTAATCCATTTTTTTAATAACTGTGATTTTCTAAACTGCTCAGTTCGGTTCTAATAGACTCTAACACAGTAAAAGGTATATTTATTTTAGGCTTAAACACTGGTACCACATTTTCTTTTAATTTAAAAAATGGTTTTGACTTTGTACATTTTCTCAACTCCTTTGAGATAATAGTTGTGAATTTATTTTTTAGTTTACTCAGTATTTCTTTAGCTGTAATATTTTTCTCTGACAAACAATTATTCTACAGAATTAATTAATCAGCCAGTGCCATAGTTCAAATAATTCTAGCTAATCGACGCCTAGTAAATTCAAGTTGGAATTTTATAATACGTAAACATCTGATTTTTAGTTTTACCTACAAGAACAATGTTACATGTTATTTTCTTAAGAAAAATTAATTTCTTGCCTGATATTCCGCTTGTAACTTTGTCGGTTTTTCTCAAATTAGGCTTGCCAGTTCTGTTCCAAGTTTGTTCATCAATAATTGTAATATCGCTTCCAGTGTCCAACTGAAATCTCACTGTAGTGTTATTCACTATAGTTACAAATTTTCTGTTATTTGAACTTTCTTGTTTTTTAGCTGGTAAAATTACTTTCAGCAAGTTAATTTATGCATTTCTTTTTCTTTTTGACTTGCAGTAGCTTCGTTTGTGACTGTTTTTGCACACTTTTTTAGTTTTAAATGGACAGTCATTTCTGAAATGAAGTATACCACAGCCATAACATGGGTTAAGTTTTTGCAGCATTTTTATTTTGGATTTTCTCTTTTTCAGATATTTTTTTATGTTCAGGGTTTACAATTTTCATACCAAAAGATGTACCTTCTTTTCATCCATCCATCCTTGACATTCTTCTCTGAAAATAGCCTCATACTTTCTGAAGTACAATAGGAATGTAATGTTTTCTTCTGGGATGTAATGAAATTCACTAATTGTGTTAGTGACTGAGTGCAGCAAAAATGAAATTGACACATTGTCTGTTCTTTGCTTTCCTGGGATTGCTTTTATCTGTTTGAGATATTAAATCCACTCCCATTGTATTTGTTATAATAGTTGCTGAATAAATATCTTCAATTCTTCCATAGTTTATTTAGTTCATAAGTAGTCCTTAAGTAGGAAGAAAAAAAATTTTTTTTTTCCTAATAGAAGTATATCATACAGCCTTGAAGGTTATTGACTTCCGTGTCATGATACAAACATAAATGAGCTCCACCTAATTTTTTTTCTGTGAATTTTGAATTTCACCAGCTATTTATGCTAACCAGGAGGAAACCAATTTTTTTTTCATGTGAAATTGAATTTTCATCACCACTGTCACTTGGATTAAACGTAATATGGCTGAAATAGGTAGTAAGCAAATAAGCTAGATCTCTAACTCTCTACTTGTTTACTCCTTCTTCTAATGATGATTCTTGGCGTCTATATTTATGTATTTGGACGAATCCAAGTCCTCTTTTGGAGAGGTGCATTAATCTCCACAACACTACACTATTTATGACTTCTTTTCTCTGTTTTAGGCACATATTAGCATCGTTTCCCTGGGTCCTCCCTTTCTATTTCTTCCATAATTACAATGTCCCATTATCTAGTTTGTCCTTCATTTTTGGTATCTCATTCCCCCTCCAAAAAGCCAGCTTATCTGGTCTTGAATATGTTAAAAACATTGGTCACATGCAGTGCTAATATAACATGCATGACCTGGACAATCCTAGGTCAAAACTGGTAAGTAGTGACTAGATGACATGACCCTTGTCATGTGCCCCCTATACCAGAAGATGATTTGGTCCTCAGGGTCATAAGACAATGAGTTGATTACAGGGTCAATCCCACACTGGTCAACAGGCCATTGGTTGCTAGCTGACCTGGTCCACACATTGCCCTGCCCACATTGTGTTTCTTTATCACAGAGCAGTGGAGATTGAGTATCATCAGTAATTCTAGTGATGGTTCAAACCACAGCAAAGGGAAATTATATGAAGGGAAAAAAAGAAATGTTCTTGCAGACAAAATAAAAACAAAAGATTCTTCAGGTCAGTTTTTGATTTGGTTTATTTAGTTCTTTGTATAACAACATTAGCTGTTCCCACTAAAATCTCTATTGTGACACTGCCTATTGGTGCTAATTCTTGGAACAGGGGTTCTCTTGGCAGTAAGTTACATGGATTTCAGTAGTACCTTTGTCTGCTCTTCACTGCTTGTCTCTCATCTCTCTCTGGGTCACCTAAGCATTCTGCCTATATTGACTTTCATCCAACACTAGATTGGGCTGACAGTATTTGGGGATCTTGTGGTTCTCCAGGTTTCTGTATCAATTTGAACAAGAGTTCTTTGGTTCACAATATTAATTATTTTTCCAAATTTGGAAGAACAATTCACCTAGCCGGTGGTGGTTGCAGATATTGCTCTACCTTTATAACTCATTCCTTTGCTTATTTATACCTTGCACCATTACTTCCAAATGGGTGGAGGTGATTTTTCCTTCTTCCTCCTCCTCTCTTAGTATTTCTTCTAAGCCTGCCACTTTGGCTGTCTCGTGACAAATCTAATTTTCAAACTGAGGGGGCGCACAGGGAGGTGCTTTTGATCATTAATTGTAATAATCTTAGTTTTCAACAATGAATTTTCTTAGACCCCAGTCCTGTTTATTTAAGCAGACATTTATCAGCTGTTTCACTGACCCATTATTTGCAAAACTTGTCTTCATATCTTTTTTGCTTAATTGTACTTATGAACCTTACAAGTTTGTTTTGTATTTCAATTTCTTTGAGCATAGGGTAAAAACCTATTTCTTGATTTGTTTACATTTCCAAAATCGGTAAAGCTATGACAGACAGGCATAAATCAGTTTCTTAATTCTCTCTTCGCCCTCAAAATTACCAAATATTATAACTCAGTTGACCCCTTCTTCTGTCTGGTAATCATGAGACATGTTTTCATAACTTCCACTTTAATTAAGCAGACATAAATCAATTTCTCAATTTCTGCTTTTATTTCTAAAATTCTCAACTAACCTCAAATGTACTTTCACTATTCCTTCTTGGACATTGTGGGTTGAAGCTTTCAACATGGCTTTTGATAATATCTTTCTTAAAACTAATAAAGTTTTTTTTTTTTTTTTTTTTTTTTCTATCTTCTTCAAGCTAAATTTTCAATAGGAAACCATTTCATTCCTTCTTTCAGTTTATACATTAATCCATACTTTTAACCCTCTCCATCTGTCTCAGTTCATATTTTAAATTAATCCTTTTCCTTTGACAGTGTCATATAGTGCCACACTAAAGGCTCTCTTTGTTTAACAAAGAGGGCCTTTGTGTGAATGCCTAATTAATCAAAGCCCTTGTTCAGACTCTTATCCATATAAGTACACACACCACACATAGTTTGCACGAGGCAGCAGGGACAATACTACAGTTTATTTTTGTCAAAAATTCTAGCATCAGTGAAGTTGGCAACATACCCATATTTTAACTGTTAGATATTTCTCAGTACCTAAAGGGAAGAAAAGAATTTGCTGAAGTTGAACCACATAAGTATGATGGTTGCAACTTTTATATTTTCTCATCATTAATAAATTGTTGATAACTTTATCAACAGAGTTTGCCCTTTCTGCTAGAAATTTCCCACCTTTCAGGAAGGTCACCCAAATTAAGAAAGTTGCTAAGACTTAAACATCACCTGGACCACAAACAAAAACCAATGACCTATTGGAATGAATAAAAAGACACATCACATAATTTGTCCTGGCAGTTACACAACATAAAGACAACACAGTTCTGGTGATGGAGAGGAATGACAGAAATAACCACATCCAATTCATGCATCCATCACTGAAATATAATACTGGGAATTGTGTTTATTGGCTAAAGTTTACATTAGGCATATGGTGATCGGGATAGCTGATTATATCATGTTGGTTCTGTGATGACAGAGAAAAGATAACATTTATTATTTTTGGTATGGTGATGACCCTAGCTAGCATGTTACCTTTGTTGCAGTGACCACTGGTCCCTGTTATACTGAACTCTTCTCTCCACCCCCTTAAATAACTCTTTACCCCCCCTCACACACACACACACACCAAGCATCTCATTACATTTGCATAGACTTTCACTTCTTCTGCTCTCTGGTCTCACCCTTCCCAGCTTGCTGTTTGCCATAAATGCTCCCATTGTGAACATTATCTTTAATTGACCTTCAATTTTACCTGTGTCTAACTGGTTGTCTTTGTTTATTCTTGTGTAAAATGCCAACATATTCCCATCCAAATATAGTAGTGTGAAGTTGGAAAAATTTCTGTAGCTTTGCCACCAGTTTTACTTATTTACCCATCAGACCATATGACCATTTCTCTCTTGCCATTAAAAACAAATCTAATTAGCAATGTCCTCAAGTTATCTCTTTTGTACATATTTTATTTTATACTTAACTGATGAAAAATTACTTGGTAATGATTAAATTGGATTGAAAATTAATTTATTCTTAAAGTTGGAAAAATTTTAATAGTATAGTGCTAATAAAAATGATACTACAATGTGCTGTTTTTACTCTATTACTGTAATAAACACACAAACATAATTTGTATTATAAATACATAAATGCAAGAAATAATTTTTCTTTTTTTCTGCAGGTAATTAAAGGTTCTGAAGACAATCCTGCTCAGTATATGAATTTCATGAATACAGTTTTTTCAGCTCAAAAGCAGGTAATTTGATTTTGTTTGTTTATATATTTTGGTGTTTTTTTTATTGTAGAGACCTTGTTTAATGGAATTTCTTATTCTCATTTGTCTATGGGAAATAAAAAATCTAAAATTGATTGATTATATTTGTTTTGTAAAGAATCAAACCTTGGCCTCTTCCAGAATGTAGGATACTTACCATTTATATTACAAAAACCTACAAAGCTACATAATGTCTCTACAATATGTTACATTTGATTAATCTTCATTTACTAGTATTAAGAATAAAAATTTCTTTAATAATCTTCTAGTAGTGGTGAAAACTTCATGTCTAAAAGTTATTTGACACATACATAAAATTCAGTTGAGATCTTGAGTTGACTTTTATATGGTAGATGGTTTAAATGTGTTTACATAGTTTTTTTTTTTTTTTTTTTGACAGAATGTTGTTATGGATGGATGCATTTTGGGTAAAGACTCTGGCCTTTTGCAGCAGGTAAATTTTTCCAAATTCTTTTGACGTCTCAGTTATGTCACAGTATGTGATTATAATTCAGTTCTCTTTGCAATTTGATACTCAGGTTTTAGTGTCTTTTATTTATAATTCCTGCAAGAAGACAAAATAGTTTTTTTTTCTTTTATCCTAGTGGTAAAAGCCTTGATTCTTGCTTTCCTCCAGCTTTTAAGTTTAAAGAAATCACAAAATTGATGTCAGAAAAACTCAAATTGATTCATATTGGTTCAGGTCTTAAATCAATTTCAAGATAGGAAAAAAAAAGTTAAAGTATAATTTCTAATGTTCTCAACCAACCTTTGTTCAGTCTGACCAAATTTCAATCAAAATTAGGAGAGAGTATCTAGTGACATGACAAATTTCCACTGCTTTTAAATTATTGTTGACACCTGATCACATTTGAATATATCCTTTTCTTATTCCCTTTTACTCCTCTGGTGGCAGTGATGGAGATGGGCTGTGAAGGCTAAATAATCGTGAACAGGAGCCACAGTGGAGTAATGGTTGTGGACGTGGCTGAACAAATCAAGCCCTCCTGATAGCATGTCACAGATTTTCATGTTGATGATTGGATTTAAAAGTCTCAGTCATTCTTTGGATGGTCCTGTGCCAGAAAGGCTGATTTGTAGCAACTGTTTCCCAGATCTCAGGGTCGATGTTGGCCTGTGTTAAGGATGTTTTCAACTGATCCTTGAAGTGTTGTTTTGGGTTTCTCTTGCCACTGCGTTTTCTCCAAACAGGACGATATGTGGGAGTCAAGTGGGACATTCTGGACATGCGACCTGTCCAACAACAGTGATGTTGAAGGATGGTAGCCTTAATGCTGGGGAGAAATGTTCAAGAGAGGACCTTGTTGTTGATGATGTGGTGGAACGGTTTTAGACATTTGATGTCCTAGCGATACAAAGTCCAGGCCTCACAAGTGTACAGAAGGGTGGAAAGGACCATGGCCCAAAAGACCATGATTTTGGTTTTTATGGAGATGCCATGATTGCTGAAGACCCGATGTGAGAGCTTTTAAATTGTCTTTGGATATCAAGAAGTATTGGTTTTAAGCATAACATGCCAATCAATATTTTAAATTTTTATACCAAACTTCATTTAATTTCATTCTTGAATTTTCTAGATGTGTAGTCTATTCTGCTAACCCTTTACTCATAGTTATGGTCTTATAAAGAAATTCAAGTATAGTTAGTCATTTTAAACCCTCTCTCTTCAATACAATATTAATTTTGTAAACCTGAATGATAGTGTCTATTAAGATGCATGACACATGGTATTAGAAAGACAACATAAAAGCAGAGGCTCAAAGCATTAATATCTATTCAAACACTGACTCCAAAAAACAAATAGGCACTAAAAATTCATAGAAGATGCTAATTGAGCAGGATTGAATAATAATATTGAATTTGAATAATAATATTGTAGAGAACTATAAATAATAATAAGATAATTAAAGCAAAGAAAGAGTTGAATGTTTACTTAAACTCCCTATGACCCGATAATCACATGAAATTGCTATTCTCACCTGACTGAAGCAATTACAGTCAAATTTTACAACTTGAACCTTTATATACACTAAATGAATGTTATTTATACAGGAAAAGAATGTTGAATAAAGAAAATTTAATTTTTATGTAAAAGTGTTTAAAAAGTATATATAAGTTACATGGGAACAAAATCCAATGATTATGTCTTGTACTATTTGCAGGCCTGTGATATTACTGGAGGAACTTATTTAAAACTACCAACTGTAACAGGTTTACTGCAGTATTTACTTGTAAGTATTTTAAAACAAATTGCCAGACACAATTACAAATCTCTTCATGTGTCATCATTGCCTTTACTTTTTATTGTCATTATTTATGATAAAGAAATTAATATCAGTTACAAAAAACAATTTTGAAACATAATAGATATAACTAAATATATATAAAGGAAACAGGATCTTTTTATAACAATAACCAGCTGATAACATTAAGCAAAAGATATAAAAATGGCAACAATTTACATTCATTATTATGAAATGCGTTTTTATAAACAATTTTATAAAAGACACTTTGATGATAAGTGAATAATTAATTAATTTAAAATAGAGTGTTTCAGACTGATTTTGATAAAAATAACATTATCTGCGATTATAATGGTTTCCTCTGTGTGTGCATATATATATATATATAACATAAATACTAACTTAAATTAAAAAAACTACTACATGCAACATACACAATAAGGTCTTTACTTTTAACAGTTATTGATCAAGCAAAAAAATTCTTATATGAAAACAGCTTGAAAAAATTAAAAAATCAACTAAAGTAAAAGCAATAAAACTGAGGCATGCTTTATTTGGGAAAATTACAGAAATCTAAGTAAATATCATGTTCTAAAAGAGCAGACATAAATTTTTTTTGTCCTTGAGACAAAACTATTATGACAAGATTGAAATACTTCAAAATTTAAATATCATTTAATTTTTTTTTAAAATATTTTTGACTGATGTAGAAACAAATAATTATTTTCAAATCTTCTTGCAGTGCGTATTTCTGCCTGATCCTGATGTGAGGCACAAGTTAACTCTTCCTGCAAGAGTTCAAGTGGATTACCGAGCAGCTTGTTTCTGCCATCGGAATCTCATTGACATTGGTTATGTGTGTTCAGTATGTCTATCAAGTAAGTATTGGTTTGTATTTTGCATAAAATTTAAATGTTTGATGATCTGAATTGTAATGTTTATATTGAAAATTGAAACAGTAAAAGGCAGTGTGAATTATTTTCTTTTAGTTTTCTTATGACTGAGATTAAATTTCACTACTTTTATTTATTCAATTACAAAATAAGATTAAGAATATCCTTTTTGGTTTTGTTAGTGATACTTTTTTACTTTGACATTCACTGAAGTGTTTTCATTTCTTTAATAAAGGAATAATCACTACAGTGAATGAAATAAGAAGCTATGGTGGTTCCATCAGTTAATAGAATTAGATAAATGCTTTTGGTGTGTGCATTTTTATTTGTTTATCTGTAGCTCGGGAGGTAAAATCTAATGAGAAGCATAAAAAGATATTTGTTCATAAATTAGACTGTTTTTTAAAACAATGTCTACATAAGATTATCTCCTGTTTGAACAGGTGTGTTTTAGGAATTATTATTGTTAATAACATTTGGTCAAAAAAAAAAAAAAAGAAGTCAGATTGGGTGGAATCTGCTTTCTATCAGTACAAAGTACAAAACTGTTTATATCTATTACAATAAGATTTATAATAAAATATATATTTTATATAAATGCTAGTATTCTTTTTGTTTAAACTTATCACAGTTGTGACCCTCATTTAACAATAATTAAATCAAAAGAAAGTATCACTTTCCATTAAGCAAATCAGTTGCTTAGAAAATATTTGCTTGAAAATGAAATTGTTGTGGTAAAAGTGAGTTAACCTGCTTACTATCATGAATAAACTGATCCTGGGTTTTGTCTAGAAAGAGAAGATAATGCTATTGTAGTGACTTGTCTAGCTGAATATTGTATACTACTATCACAACTGACTCTGACAAGTTAAATGTTGTATCTTGCCAGACCCCACATCACAAGAGAAATATAATTGAATATTAACATAAGTTAATAGGAAAAAAATTCCCAATTGACATATTTACTTTCTTTTCCTTATTATTTCTTGTTATATAATATTTATATTATATAAAATATCTAAATTTCTATAATATTCATCATCATCGTTCAACCTCCCTATGGTTGGTCAGAGCTCCATTGACAATCTCTGTCCACACTGTTCAGTCGTGTATGGCTGTCCTCAGATCCCCAATGTTCAACCCTGAGTCCTGAGCTATGGTGTCTGGGAAAGTCAATTTTTGTGAGAAGATACTTCCAGAAGGATGCCATAGGAGTAAGGATGAGATGACTTCTCTGTCTGCTTGGTAGCAGTGGCTGGCAAACTGTAGTCATTTTCATTGTAATGATTGGTCTGAATTCTCTGTAGATTGTGTAAAGTGTTGCATGGGATCTCCAACTAATGTTTTGAACAGGAGTAGAGGTTTATCCCTGGTTTCCAGTTTAGGATTGAGTTTCCGTTTCCTTTTAAAGACTTCTCATTCTCTTTCACTTCCACTAACCCCTTGGGTCTTAGTGGCAGCATTGCCTTGCTCGGGTGAAATGATTTAAAAAAATAATTATCAACAATGGACAGCCATTAGTGAATGAGTTGACAGGAATTTAAACAAAATGCATTGTAGGGATTCTCACTATTTTTGATCAATTCCACTATTTTTGATTCTATTAATTTATTTCTAATGAAAAATTTTTTTTTTCAGTATTTTGTTCCTTCAGTCCAATTTGCTCAACCTGTCAGTAAGTGAATCTTTTTACACTCACTTAATGATTATTAAAAATTAAATGCTTAAACTTTGTTAAGATTTGATGGAATACATATTGGCATTTTTAATTTCAATTCTTATCATAAATACTGTATTTCTTGAGCTGCATACTATTATTTTATTTTTTTTAAACAAAAATATCCAATATTGCATTGAATATGCTGGTATTATAGATAGAAGACTGATCATTGCATGTTTAATCTGTAAAGTTAGGAGCTCAGGATGAAGTGCAATCAATAGAACTCTAAAAGTGTCCTTTGTAACAAGTTATCAAATATTGTTGTTCCCTGAAACTTCTTTCTATTACTTCTACACTTGACATATAATCATCTCTAGATATTGATTATCCTTATCCATTACAAAACAGCAGTCATCAAGTGTCTCATGGGAAATAGCTCCTTCATCATTGCTTTACAGCAGCAATATATCAGTTTGTTAAAAATAAGCTAGGAATCAAACATGTTTTTACTGCTATAACTTACATCTATTTAAAGCATTCTTTATCTTAGAAGATATATCTTAATTTAAATTCATCACTGAAGCCAAGAAATTGGGATTCCAGATGAATCAATTCTAAAAAATGCTAACATTTTTTCGTGGATATCATAGTTAATTCTCTTTAAAAGTAGAATGAAAATATAAAAATAATGAAAGAAATTACAATTTTTAGTCTTTGAGCAGAAAGCATTCATGACAGGTGTTCCCCCACCCCTGGGCTACTTCTTATTAGCTTCTCTTGAACTGCAAGTTAAAAAAGACAAAAATATCTTTTAGAATTACATTTGAAACAAATGTAGAACAAATTTATTTCAAATAGATCCTCTTTTTAATTTTGTGACCAAATTAATATTGTCAATATTGTCCTTTGAATTTTTCTTTGTGTAGATCCTGGCTTTCTGCTACTGAAGTCTCATGGTTTCACCTTTAGCAGAGTGTAATAGTTTGTACTATTATATATATATATATATATATATATATATATATATATATACACACACCAATTTCCTGGTGAAAATGGCATTAAAAAATGTATTTTCATTTTAAAGTGTCTATGAAAATAGGTGTTACATTAAATCGTGGACTATTTTTTTAGTGAAGGATGAAAGCAACTCTAAAAACTTAAAAATAAAATAAAAATATTTGATTAACCACCATTTTGAACCATTTAGATGAACTAAAAATGGAAATGATAAAAGAAAGAAGAGATGAAAATAACCAATAAAGTTGATAAGCTGTTTGCATGTTTCACAATTGGAATTTATTGCTCAATTATGAAAGCTATTTTAATGAATGTCTATTACAACAGACCAGAAGTTTGATATTTGGATTTTGGATTTTGATTAAGTTCTGTAATTATTCAATGAATCATTCAAATTACTTTATTTTTTCTTCTTTTTACTTGTTTAGCTTACAGCCTTTCTTATCTTTTCTGGGATTTAAGTAATAAATATTTTGTAGGGAATTTTTTTTTTGTACTTCGGAAAGTGGATGATCATGGATCTCCACAACTTGTCTTTTGTAGCTTTAAGTAACAATTGACTTTTTATCTTCTATCTTTGTCCCATCTCTTCTATTCATTTACACAAATTCATTACGTAGATTACTCTGTTTTCATCTGCCCCTCTTCCTGAAACTCTTCTAAAAATCATTTTGAGATATAACAAATACGTAAGGAAGGCTGAAATACTCGCTGACAAAATCAATATTAGCCTGAATGATTCATTCAATAATGTCTACATTTCAGAACATAAGAATAGGTTAAGGTTTTTATAAACATTGTAAAACTATTTTGAACAGGAAAAATTTATATATATGTTAGTGAAAATATTTATTAATTTAGAATTTCTTTGCTAAGCATAGAATATTGATTATAAAGATCCTTTTTATAAAGTTAAGTTTAATATATTTCTGCAGGACATTTGTTATAGAGTAAAAGTTAGCAAAGTTAATCCCATAAAGCATTATGAAAATATTTATGGTCTAATTTTTCTTTATTTTTTCAGAACCACCTTTAAATTTTTAGGACCTCCTAAAATTTTGAAGAAGAAAATTAAAAAGACAAATGTCTGACAGATTTTTTCAGCAAAACTTTCATTCAGAGATGAAAAAGTTTGAATTGTGAAAAATAAATTATTTTTCTAAATCTGTTTGTTTCTTCGAAATTTATTTTCAAAATTATTTTATTTTGGATGAAAGATCGGCATATTAATATTTCATTGACTGACAATATTTGGCAAAATATTTTTTCACACATTAAAATAAAACCTTTTTTTTACGGATAATTTAAATATTTTTATAGTAGTTGTCAAATTTCTCTTTATTATCTGTGAATGGAAGTGACAATTAATTTACATGTACCAGCTAAGATCTGTAGACGACAGTATGGCATCTGGATTTGCAATTGAAGACAATTTAATCAATTTGTTTTGTTTTTCATCAGATATTTTTTCTTGCCATCACTTAGTAATCACTCAAAGTCAACAGAATAATATATTTTTTTTATTTAATTCTAAAAGCATACATTTTAGAAAGTATATATTTACAAATGTATTAACACAAGGAGAAAAAGAGCAATGAAAAACTTATTGAGCATTGTCGACTGCAGAGTATAGTAGTGTCAGTTGGGTACTGTCTGTGAAAAAAAGAGCACCATGATGCAGTTCACCCTGTCAGAAATTTGGAAAAAGCATGCTGTACTGTTTGGCATTTGCACCGGAAGCTCCAATATGAACATTTCAGAGTATTTGTGTGTCAATCTGAGGACAATGCAGAGGATTTGGAAAGAGTTGAATGAGTCTAATGGTGATTATAAAGGTATTTTGAGTGATTACTAGTGATGGCAACATTATGCCTCCATTCATTGTCCCACAGGGCCTCAGACTCAACACATGAAGTGCCTTGAGTAAGCAGTTCTGTCCTGGGGCAAAAGGGTGGCTGCTGTAAGACCCTATGTCTAGCAACAGGATTCTGCACCATACCACACAAGCAGAAGAATGTAGTCATGACTGTCAGACAATTTTTGCATCAAACCTTATATCTAGCTACCTAACTTCCAGAGTGCAACCCCTTTGATTATTATGTGTGGGGACACAGTTAAGCAAAAGATCAACACCAAACATGAAATGAAGGCAAGGATTATGGCAGCAATTTAAACAAAGAAAACATCCAGATGAGTTGCTGGAGATTATCTGAAGGCTGTGGTTGAAGCCAATGGCAATTTTATTGAATAAGTTTACTCTTTAGTATTTCAAGATATTTTTGTGTAATTTTGGTAAATATATCTGTTAAAATGAGGTGTTAGTGTTATTTTCATTTTTGCACAATTTAGACAACAATTTTTCCATCACACCCTGTATATACAGTGGTGTGAATTAATTGTGACAGTGACTTCCATAAAATAAAGAAATAATATCAAATTATGTTTATTTTTTTTTCAAAAAGCTTTACATAACTGTTCTAAAATGTCACAAATCAGTATTTTATATGTCTGCCTCTACTCTTAATGAGGATTTGGACACATTTTTCTAGTTTCAGACATGTGTTGCACAATTTTTCATTGTGATAGCATATGTGAATGACTGCATAGATTAGCTTCTCCATTGTGGTACAGTCATGTTTCATCAGTTGTTGCTTCACAATACTCCACCAATTTTCAATGTGGTTCAGATCAGAGGAATTTCCTGGCCAGTCCAACACTTTTACACCCTTACTTTGAAAAAAATTCTGCAATTTTTTCTGTGTGTGGCAAGTGGCATTATCTTGCTGAAAAACACCATTTCCATCTAGGTAAAATTCTTCCATTGATGGGAGCATATGGACTTTCAAAAGATCTTCATATTTTGTGCTATTCATAGCACAAAATATGAAGATCAATTATCATCCCATCAATTATTCTCAATCTACCTAACCCATTTGAACTAAAACTGACCCAGAACGTATTTTCTTGTGAACATGTTTTAGCATTTGCTCAATATGGTCATCACTTATGGATTCACCTTTGCTTCTTTATACAAAGCAAGATCAATGACTTCAAAATGCGTTTCATCTGAGAACAACACTTTTTTCCAATTTTCAACCATCCAATCTTTCTGAGATTTTGTCCATTCATTATTTTCTCTCAAAAGCTGTTTTTGTGTGGTTTTCTGGCTGGTCTCACCATTTCAAGTAACTGTCTCCTGGCAATTGAGTCAGATATGGATACACTGGATCCACTAAATCTGCTGCCAGGTCCCTGCTACTGTTCCTTGTTTTTTTTTTTCTTGATGCTTTGGGCTTGACAAATCTGTGTGACAAATGTCACATAGATTTGTTTGAATGTTCATGGAGCACAATAACCTGTGCACACTTTCTAGGAGTTATATCCATTTTTATTTTACCTATTGAAAGAAAATAATCAGATTAGTTTTTAAATCAGAAACAGTAACCAAAAAAAACAAGAAATCTGACTTACAAGCAAAACCATATAAATCACACAATTCTTTACCAAATGCAAAGTTTAGTCACAAATAAAATCTACAATATTCAAAATTGTTTCAAAAGTGTTCTGTTCAAAAATGTACACTGTAATGGCTTCATTGTGATTAGGAGTCATTAAACTTGTGACGCAGTCCAAAGACTATAAAAGAGAACAATATATTAAACTGAAGTCACTGTCCCAGTTAATTTGCACAGTACTGTATATACTTTAAGTCATTTTCATAAAAAGCTGAACAATTTTCAGAAAATACATACAAAAATTACACACTTTGGATAAACCATCATCATCCATGGAAGATTTTTATACCATTTTTCTCGATCCATTGCAATTTTGATTTAATCCTTTAAAGACAGAATTAGAAATTATCACTGGCCTGTGATGTTTACAAGGTCAAATATATAATAACTGATTTCAAGGTAGATTTTTACACTGAATCCAAAAATCATACTCATTTTTTCTAATCAGATCAAATTTTTAAGATACAAGCTCTCGTTGAATTAAACAAATTATGCTAAATTTAGGGCTGATGTTTTCGCAGAAAGCTCACATTGTGCTATAGTAAACTGAAAAATACACAAAAGAAGATATTCACAGATGAAAGATCTTTTTAGGGAATTCCTCCTGTGCGCAGCAGCCATCATATCCCGTTTCAAGCACCAACTGTAGTTGGCAAGAAAATTTACATCCCACCGGCCTTGGTAGTACTCTTCCATTATGCGAATGTCTTGTTGAAAGTGCTCACCCTGCTCTTCACTCAAATCTTTGGGAAATAGTCCAAGTGCAGTTTGACTGACATTTGTGCCCCAAGTTGGTAGAAACTCTTCAGTAGCTCTTCAATTTCCTTCTTGTATTCTGCACTCCAGTGGTTTCCCAGGAAGTTTGTAACTACTGACTTCAGTGACTGCCAGCTTCACTCAGTGCTTTGTCAAGCATTGGGTCCTTCATGAGTTCTCTCATTTGAGGGTTCTCATATAATATACCAGTTTTGAATTTCTTCATACTTATCTGTGGTAACTTTCTGGAGGAAAGCAAACCTGCTGCCTTCCCTGTCCATTCCCTTCACATAGTTCTCCATTACTCCTAACTTGATATGTAAGGGTGGAAACAGTATTTTGTTTGGTTCAACGAGTGTGAGACTGAATGTTATATATGAGCTAGGTTTTAACCCTTGTCAGGTCATTGACTTCTGCTTGTGTCAAGGCTACTGGCTGGTCATTCTCTTCTGGCTTGTATGCGTCATCCCCAGCTACAACAGTCATGTCACTATGTTCAGAATCAGAGCTATATTCCATGTTACCATCTGGCTCAGGAACAGGAAGGTTTGGGCCATGAAGGATTGGTCTTATGGCAGAAGTAACATTGAGGTATTGGACATGTTGCTTGTTCTTGCAATTTATTCCTTTTAAATTTATCATGCAGAAATAGGAGTCCGTAATGTGATCTTTTCCTTCCGTCTAGACCATTGGAATGGCAAATGGCATACTCTTCCTTTTACCATTCCTCCAATTCCTCAAGTTCTCCACATGTTTTACAGCAAACATGGGGAGCAAATGGCTTATTCTGATTACCTAGTTTGACTCCAGAGTAATCGTGATGTCTCCTTCACAAAGTCAGTGATTTTTGCTTGACAGTTAAGAAGAACCACATTACTACAGATATAACAGAACCTGTCATGATTATTCTTACAGTTGCAATCCATTCTTAGTTATAAAGAGAAAAAAATAAATCAGCACTCAGCTCATCATTGACACTTGACACAGTAGATTAAAATCATTTAGGTATGTCAGGTAATGACTTCTGCTTGTGTCAAGGCTACTGGCTGGTCATTAGGTATGTGGGTGTTAGTGAGTAGGTTGGTACACTGTAGTTAGGTACACATACAACATTATATGCTATACTAAAGATCAGACACCCATGATCAGCTGTGACAAGTAGAGTCCACAGGCTTTTGAATAAGTGTTATTATTGTGTACAACTTGTGAAGTATTGAAGCACATCTTAAAAACCAAACCTGACCAAACATAATAAATTGAATTCAGCATAAAATGGTGGTCATATATCGCTTGATAAACCTTTGACCTTTGGAAAAATTTTTTTAATACAGGCCAGTGTTATAGATGGGAGTTTTTCACATGGTATCTACAAGATAATCAAAAAAGTTCTGTCCGTTTTTAAAGGAAAAAAGAAAACACTTCACAGTATGTGTAACTTATATTTAGTCTTTGAAGTAATCGCCATCGGCATCCAGCAACTTCTGCCAACATGTCTCCAGCTGTTCAATGCCCTTGCAGTAGAACTCAGGGGGTTTTGATGCAAAGAAGTCAGTGAGGGCTTTGCGTAAATCTGCTTCATTGGTGAAGGATTTCCCACGAAGATGATTATCCAGGTATTGGAAGAGGTGGTAATCGAATGGCGCAAGGTCAGGTGAATAAGGTGGATGGCACAAAGTCTCCCACCCAAGTTGCTGTATGGTATCCCTGACCACTCGCGCAACATGCAGCCTGGTGATGTCATGGAGGAAAAGCACACCTTTGTGATTCACCAGTGCTGACTCCTGGCGCAATACCTGTTGCACACGTTTCAATTGCTGTGA